GGCAGCGCTGCTGGCTCTGCGCTGACACGCCTGAAGATCGTCCGGTAGCGTTCGTACCTGTTGGGGATGTGGACTTCAGAGTCATTTCCACACGAACAAAATTTGAATATGGACACTGAATTCTGCAGGCAAAAACCGTGACTCCCTTGATCAATGGAGACGCCGCGGAAATCGGGATGATGGAAGTGAGTCCAATGTTGAGAGAATAAAAGAAGAGAGAAGGACGAAAGGAGAAAGGCAAACAGGTACACAGGGAAAGAGATAAGGAGATAGACGTATAAATAGATAAGAGAGCGTGAGAGCAACAAAGGCTAAAATAGAGAAAGAGATAGACAGACAGAAAGAGTGAAGACAAAGACTGAAAGAGAGAGAGAAACAGACTGACTACAAACAGTGAGCACCTGTGCCCGTCGAGGCCGACATACACGGCCCCGATACAAGATCCAGAGGTCCTTCAAGACCATCCCTTGCAAGTAGCAAGACATCCACGCACACTCATGCTGTTACGGGATGCCGTCTCGAGGTCCAGACTTATATAGGCGACGCCCCTGACCCCTGACCTCGGGCCTGACCACTACCGGTACAACGCTAACATTGACTCCCATACTTGCCAGTTGTAAGTCTTTTAATAAATATTATTACGCAGATTATTTCCCTCAATTGAAACAGATTCCTATTTATTCCTGTGACATTTTATTTGAACATGAAAATTCCTTTAATCATTGATTATCATTTTATGTGTATATGTTCGGTATGTACATTCCCTTATTTCACAGGACAATGACTCTCAAAACTTCCGAGTTGTCGGCTAATGGGAGAAAATGCAGCCCTAACTATGTAAATAATGAGCTCTTGCAATTTTGCTTTCATTTAAAAGTTGGCGATGGGAATGGTTCCTGTAAGAGATAAAGCTCAATATTAATTACCAATAGTTGACTAAATTATGAAAACCTCAGGATAATAAAAATGTGTAATATTTTTATAATATATTCAATACATAATAAAGGGTGTACATCATCATATCAAACATGCTACAGATTCATTGAGCAGATTTTTCACTTAGATTTTCTTTCTTGCAGTTATTAATTACTGAATGAATATTACCTTGTTCCTCTGTTATTACACAAAGGTGTTGTACTCAAATTACCTGCTGTATTACTAGCTCTTCGCGTGGGTATAAAAGTGTCTCTTTAAACTACTTGATCGACTGAACTTTGCAGAACAATTTTGAACATTTGAACGGTTTTTCACCTGTGTGTGTGTCAAGGTGATACTTCAGGTGGATCTTCTGGGCGAAACGCGAAGGGCAGTGTGGACACGTGAAGGGCTTCTCCCCTGTATGAACGCGCTTGTGGACCTTCAGATTACTTTCAAAAGACGTGCTAAATGAACATTGCAAACAGGAATAAGGTTTTTCTCCAGTATGGGTTCGCAGGTGCGCTGCAAGCTTTGACTTCGATATGGCGCGGTACGGACACTGAGCGCACGAGTAGGTCGACCACCCTTGTGAGGGACTGCATGCGCCAAGACAAGATTTTCGTCAGTGTTATTATAAGCATAGTCGGGACTGTGATGTAAGCTGGTGGTAGAGAAGAGCCTCCTCTCGCCCGCCGAGTGAAGTCCCTCTGGTGTTCCGAGACTCCCGTGTGTGCCCGCCTGCAAGGGAGGCTCCGCTTTAAAACAATCGTTACAAGGACTGAGTTAATAAGGTTGAATTTGCAAAGCGCGAAGCATTACTACAATTCATCAAAAGATTCGTCACGTGTGTAAAACTGGTGTAGATAAATTCCGCACTCTCAATCTGGTACTCTGAAAATTCCCACATGCTTGACAAATTTTAAGATACGGAAGGAAATTGTATCAATTGTAACATATCTCCTACTTTTAGGACTGTACGTTGTGGCCCGATAATGCATTTGTTTAGGGAGGAATATTGTACACAAAATAATTGCCTTTGTAATTATCCAAATGTTGCCGTCAGAGGAATACCATATCCATATATGCATCACAACGGTTCAGAATGAACAAAGGATTCAACGCTACCATAGTTCTATCCTGTACTTGCTTTTACTTGTCCTCAAAAATATTGGTTACTTGGAAATTAGCACCAGAAAACCGATGCGTTTCCGTGTACATGGTACCCACACACACACAACACACACACACACACACACACAACACACACACACACACACACACACACACACACACACACCACACACACACACATACACATACACACATACATACACATACATACATACACACACACAAACACAACACACACACACACACACACACACAGACCGGCTTAAACTTACTTACAATTGCCCTTGAAATTGAACTTGCACTTGCACATGGATACAAGTATATAAGTATACATACACACACACACACACACACACACACACACACACACACACACACACACACACACACACACACACACACACACATATATATATATAATATATATATATATATATATAATATATATATATATATATGTATATATATATATTATATATGTATATATATATATATATATATATATATATTATATATATATATATATATATATATGTACACACACACACACACACACACAGGTGTACACGAATGGAAATTTTGGTATATCTCGCCCTACAGCAGTTGTAGTACATCCCAATTGTCGAGTTAGCTCACGTTACCAGCCAAAGTCCGACCCCGACTAACATTCAATTTTTCCTTTGCTCTTTCTTAGACTAAAATTGCCCAGAACATTGATTCGGGTCAATGGCAACTACATAAACTACAGTTCCTGAATTTAAAAAAATCCTATACTGCATTATAAATACAACTAATTTGCATGGTGATGATACAGCCCAATGACAGCACAATGGCTAAGGCAACCCCTACGCAACTGGTAACAGTTATAGCAATACTCTTCTATTCATTCACATGCTATCTTTAATGTTATCATTGCAATTATCATATTCATGATTCTCATACGCATCTTATTACAACTGCTATTGTCATTACCGTAATTTTAAAAGTATTGGGAAGAATAATGAATAATAAAGCTGTAGTAATAATGATGTCTAATAACAATAACCCTAACAATACCAATCACTGAAATATTGATAGCACAAATAATAGCAAACAATAATTGATTTGTAATAATGATAATGATAAATACAATCAGTGCTGTATAAATATGCAAAAAAAATTGTAATAGCGATAACAATTACATTGACACAGTAACAAGAGCGATAGTAAAAATGTATTCATGATAGGAATTTTTATTCTGTTATGCCCTTTTCCCTGCAACAGCACCTAGGTTTGTGTCACAGACATAACAGGAGCTCGCAGCAACTGTGGTCCGAGACTGTACCTTTCCACGACTCAGTGAATGTGAACCAATGTAAGTGATTACCCAGTAATGCAATTACCCTGCTCTATAGAAGTAGCTGTTGCAAAAGAGCTCTGAATGTTGACGTAGAGTGCGGTCACATGTCTTAGAATGGTCATCCTATATGTTCACTATTTTAATGTCTTTACTAAAATCTACAATCAACTACTTCCCGTCTGTCTTCTCCAATCTGCCTCCTATCCGCTTCATTGACCTAGCCTGTTACTTCTCTCCTTTCCCATGTGGGCTGGGTGGTAACTGGTCTGTACTACGACTTTGTGTGCAAGACTGTATATACACGCACACACAGATATACACACAAGCAATACATATACACATCCAGACCATACACAATTATTGATGCGCGTTCTCCAACACAAACAAACAAGGTCATTGAAACTACGTGCATATTTACATCAATTTCAATAACATGAAATTTTTAAGTGGAAATTTCACCCACCAATATCTTAGCTAAAATGTTTTTTCACCAGATTATTTCCTATAAATCACTGAGAGCGTCTCTTCGCTTTCCTTTATAGATTATCTTAGACGTATACGTACTTTACATACCAGTTCACAAAACAATGGTCAAGAAAAATGTTTGATCTTAGTTCTCCATTCCCTTGTACTGTTCAAATTTGGATATTTGCCTCTAAGCAAACATGCTGTTTCAGAAGCCGTTTGTGTGCAAAGCGAGCTGGGCAGCGCTGACAAGAGTAAGGTCGTTTTTTCAGTATGAGTTTTTACATGCCTATGAAGGCTGCTGTTATTGGCACAACGGAAGGAGCACAACGGGCAAGAATACGGCTTTTCTCCGGTGTGAATATGCATGTGGTCTTTAAATGGATGTTCTGAATAAACTGTGCTGGGCATATATGACACTTAAAGGGCCTTTCGCCTGTATGAATTCGTAAGTGCTTCTTCAGGTCACATCTTTTTGAACAAATAAACGAACACCACTTGCAAGAATAAGGCTTTGGCTGAGGCATCAGCAACATGTGTTGACCTTCAATAGCTTGCTTGCTCCTATTCGCCAGGCTTTCACTCGTGCTATCGCGGTTGTAGAGATGTCGATGATCAAGAATATCCGCTGGATGGTAAGTCTTCTCAGGTACTGTTGCATCTTCTTCAACAAACATGTGAGACTCAGTATTCGTGGGCATCTGTAAAGAATGCCCTATTTTAGGAACCCCAAGTTCTTAAGCCATACTCTCATGCACAAAAGTTTTAAAATAAGATTTTTATCTATAATATTATCTGTATATCTATATGGACACAATAAAAAACGACAGAGCTCCCCTACTATCAACATCAATAAATACGTTTTAATACACAATTCACATCCTAGAATAATATAAAAAGTAATTCAGAGTTCACCATGATCACTCTTCAGGATTAACTACCAAATCGATATTCAAAGTTGAATAACATTACCATGTAATGCGAACACGACCAGGCAAGTTACTAATGCATTACCCCTTATAATTGTTTCTGTACCTAACTCCAATTTAAATATCCATAGAAAATGAAACATAAACCTATGGCAGGTACTAAATTACTTACAAAATATTCGAAGGAGCCATCGCTAGCACGCGGTGGTATATAAAGA